AATAGTGTGCACTAGGGCCTGTTGGAATAGTGTGCACTAGGGCCTGTCGTAATAGTCATAATAATGATAAAAGAATAGTTGTTTGAATAGCTGATCTATTAACTGATTATTATGAGAATTTAATTGCTGTAAAACTCAAAATTCTTAATGTCGTTTTTCCATGGCAACCACTACAAAAATGAAGCTGCCATTGAAAAAAAATGACACTACTTTTTAAAACCGGGGTTAATGATGTATTTATCTACCTAACTGATGCGTTTCTGATATTCCGATCTAATTCATTGATCTGTCTTCATCTTTGCAGTAATGGATACACCTGGCTACAACACTGGCCATCCATTGGTCACAAGCCAAAGCCTCCTCCCCCTCCTCTTCCTCCTCCTCCTCGGCCTGACTGCCCACCAACTCTGGAGGTTATTACGCTCTTCATGCTGATTAGGTTTGAATGAAAAGCGGCCTTTGTTCGGCTCCGGTTCCCACGACCTGGCATTCGCCTGGCAGTCGCGTGGCTCCTAAAACAGGGGCCCGCGCTTGAAGGGACCTAAAGGTGGATTGTGGAGGGGGGACATCTGGTCACTCTGACATCTGCTCGCTAACAGTTAAGAGCAGATGTCTGACGTTAGAAAACACGGAGAGTGATCAAAGCCGTTTGCGAGTGTTGTCCTTCTATTTCTCAAAGAGCAGAGAGGCGTGTGTGTCTTTGCTTGGTCTGACTCTCCTGTTGCAGCCAGCATGAAACCATCTCTACTTGTATATGCATTATAAAATCGCTCCATATTTAAACTGTACTGTATTTCAATCGTCGTATACGTACATGGAACCTTAGCATATGATAAGATAAACTCAACCTTTTTCGTTTAATCAAAGACTGAAGAATAAGACAAAACAATAGAATAAACATATAAACATATATGAAAAATAGAGTAATAAGCTATTAATTACGTTTATAAGAAGTAATAGTGATGTAAATATAGTAAATTCAACTAAAATAGACACATTACATTGCAACAACATAAGATTAAAAACAAGAGTAATTATAATAACCTGTGCCTCATAGAAACTAAAACAGAAAAGCAATAATATGCATGATATTGAGAGGGATATTGTCAATGAAGTAATAAAAAGTTTTAGAGCACAAAATATACTGAAACTAATATTGCACGAATTCGAAAATATTGCACATGATATGGTTATTATTGTTCTCACAGGTCTGAAATGACCTTTTATGGATGGGATCCAGCTAATGTGGTCGCATATTAAGTGTGATCTAATCACATAAAGTCATAGTGACGTATTGCATTAACTCATCGGTCATGCATCAAATCCAGCCTGTGGTTTGTACCACAATTGTATCATCAGAGGTGATCTTCCATACAGGCAAACTGCTTACGGGCAGATATATACTCTCCAGTGATTTGTCAGTCTATTGTGCCTTCCTGTGAGCTTTTGAGGGAACAGGTTGGGCCCTTTTGCAGGTACAGTGTAATGTTGCTCCTGCGAAGAATAAACGAGGGGCTCCCCGGAGTACAGCACGGTAACTGCACACTCTTGTTCATCCCTGGGAGAAGAGGAAACTGCAGGTTTTTTGTTGGGTGGAGAGCGAAAGGGAGGAGGGGATGGGAGGGGTTGGAGAGCAGTGCATGGTTTCAGGCTGGACATCTGTCGCTTGTGAGTATTTTTTTTATTTTTTTCTAGGCCGGGTCTCTCGGTTATTGAATGGAGCCAGTGACCTGTCAGTCTTGACTGATGGGACCCCGTGTGTGGGAAAATCCCGCAGCCAAAGAGTTGGGAGCATTCACATGCTAATTGCGCTCCGATAAAAAGAGGGCCGTGCCGCGCGGAGGACCCTAGAGAGACGCGCTGAGATTCAGAGTAGAGAGGAGGCACAAGCGCACAGACACTCGAGGAAAAAAAAGAAAAGAAAGCATGACTGCTTCATCCATGGCGCACAACGTGGGGAAACATCCCAGTGCCAAGGAGGAGAGAAAGGTAGTTTACACTTGGATATACTGTAGATCGATTTTCTCTTTTAGGATGCGCACACCGTGGACCTCTTCGTCCTCGTGCGCTCCCGCATGGGTTCCCTCTCTCCATCCTGGCTGCATCTAACCCGACGTTGCTTTTCCACCCTTACAGATGAGGAAGCCGCTCATTGAGAGGAAACGACGGGAGAGGATAAACAGTTGTTTGGATCAGCTGAAAGAGACTGTGATCGGAGCGTTCAGACTCGATGTGAGTATGTTTCCCCCTCACGTGTCTCGTCCCCTCTGTAGGCTAACAAGTAAACAAATGGAAGGCTGACTTGCGTTAACTTCAAAGGGCTGCTCGTCTCTCAACAGCAATCCAAACTAGAAAAAGCCGACATTCTGGAGATGACAGTGAAGCATCTGCAAAACATCCAGAGCATTAAACTCAACGGTAAGGAACATGTGCGTTTGTCTTTGTGAGTTAAATATGTTTGGATTGTGTACTGTGGATTATAGATTGTATAATACTGGCTGTTCTATTTATCATTTAGGTCCTTCATTGGGTAAAAAGATTGGGTTATACAAAGTTAAATATGCCATAAAATAGCTTGAGATCATTCAGCTGTAAAGTTGCTATCTGGTACTGTCTGGCATATATATATATATATATATATAGTTACCTGAAATTGTGTTCAATAAAGTATCAATGAGCAGCTTCCTGATGGGAAAGAAGCAACAGTTGAAGCTGTTTTTCTGGATGCATGTTATGCTCTCACCACCACCACCACCAGGGGCTGCTATAACTTCACACCTCCCCCCCCCCATCCTTTTTCTCCCACAGACCCCACATTAGGCCTGGAAGCCCAGCAGAAATACAGTACAGGGTACATCCAGTGCATGCACGAAGTCCACAACATGCTCCTCACCTGTGACTGGATGGACAAGACCCTGGGCTCCCGCCTGCTCAACCACCTGCTCAAGTCCCTGCCCAGGTCCACCGACGAGCGCCCCCTCCAGGCCCCACCCAAGCGTGACGTCCCTTACCCCGGCACACCCCTCAAAGGGGACCCCTTCAATGGGAGACAGCTCCAGAGAGAAGGCCCAGGACGCCAAGAGAGGCCAGAGCTCCACAGCTCCCACCTGGGGATGCTGGAGATGTGGAGGCCCTGGTGAACTTGTGGATCTTGGTTCTCCATGTATTTGTTGTAGGCCATCCTCTGTTATGTATCTTATAGATATGCTGCTCAGAAGACAAACGTGGGGCAGTTTTGTTCCAGTGATTATTATTGTATGTGTGCTATAATGATTCTATACAGACCTTTTCTCAGTACTTCCCTTTAGAAGTCGACTTCTCGTAGCCTGCATTGTAGAAGGCTCTTATTAATCTTTCTTGTATTTATTGTATTAACAGCTTTATTTATTTGATATCATAAGGCATGACTTTTGCTACTTAGACCTGCACTTGCTTGGCATTGCATCGATTTTATGTCTTCCTCCTTTGCTGTATGATTAACCCAGACATTAATAACAATAAAACTGATTGTACACTTGAGATTTTACTCATCTTTGTGAACAGTCTGGTTCATGCACAGCTGTTATGGTCAATTATGTTTGGAAATTCTTGCTATAATGGCCGTGCAGTGCAGAAGGACCATCACAAGTCCCTCACATTTAACAACTTCATCAAGGAGACACAAACTGCTTCAGATTATTTACCAATATAATCCTACAAATATAGTTTTTTTTTTTATAGTTGAAGCATTAGGCAGACATAGAATCAACAGTACAGTTTCTGAAAATAAAGATATTAGCCTACAGAGTAACCTTCTATAGTCAGTTTACATTTTTGAGAACACTGGTTGCGTTTGTATTTGTTATATACCATTTAAATCAAATATCGTATAATGACTGGTGTGAGTCACAGCTAATTGTGACCCAGTCCTGCAGCTCAATGCATCTCTTTCGTCTCCTTTAGCTCGTTGTCTTCAGGGCTGCAACTGCAAATACAGAGCAGTGCCGTCTCATCTGTGTTTTCAGTAAATAAACTCAGGTGAACTCACCACCTGCCCAGCAAGGAATGTCAGACAAACAATGTTAGCGACTAAGTATAGTCTTAAAATATTTTTGTTAGATATTTAAGCTCTGTTTGATGGAGACCAAGCCGAGCTAAAGGGAAGTGAATGTAGGCCTTTTCCCATTTTGATGTGTCATAGGAAGTACACAGGTAACAATGGCTTTGTTCTATTCAACTCGTACCAGTGTGACAGTGAGTCAGCATGCACGATACCAGGACCCTGAAACTGAAGCAGCTAAATGGAAGTCAGCCATTATTCCTTGATTCGTCTATAACTAATAAAAAGATGCTGCAGTTTAATGTCTGTTTGGCAAAAACTTCACAATGTTGTGTCAGGTTTTAAGGATTTTCTTCTGCCCCCAGCTACCAAAAAACTGCAGCTTTTATTAAAAGGGTTGACGACCCAAATCATAAAGCAACATATTTTCTGATTTGCCTCTAGTGGTGTCTGTAGTTTCACTTTATGTGCTGAGGTTGTTAGATGTCCAGTCAAAACAATGCAGGTCAATATAATTATTGTGGTAATTATTTACGCCTGTGCTTTTTCCTGAAGTGCTGACACGAAATAAAAAATTGATGGCATTGATTCCACACTGATGTGGCTCACGGAAACACTTAATTAAAGAGACATCCTTAATTATATTCATACTGTTGTATTTGTTTGGTAGAACGTAGAAATATAGAAAGTGCAGGCAATGCGGTATAGAGAGCTTTGCATGTACAATACAGTAACCCATTGACTGCTAAATGCAACACATTGTTGGGAATATATATATATATACTCACACATAATGGTGTGTGAGCTTCATACATAACTAGCATACTGGGGCCCATTATACACCACTGGTTCCAATGAAAACAGTTCGCAGTGTTGCTGCTGCGAGACATTCACATCTTGACACTTTTAGCACCACAAATATAATTCCAATCCCCTCTATTGTATTTGGGGTTGTGACAGAAATAACAGAGAATGGCATCTCAGAACCTGCATGGGTCACTAAACTCTAACTGTATCTGTACCACAAGGTACATCAGACTTTTCTTTTCTATTTGGGGGAACTGATCCTTTAATCATGCGACTCAGAAACCAGTATTTGCATAGAGGTTTTACTAAATAAATTAATTATAAATTGTGTTTTGTAATTGAGATCACAAGACACCCATTTCAAGGATGACCTAAATACATAAGGAATGTCTGTGACAGCAGGACTGGATTGTGTGTATAATTGTTTTATGGTCGAGACACTGACACTCAGCGTGATCTGTTTCATTTGGCCTCTGGTGGACTAATTCAAATTGAGTGTTCAGATAAGGAACCCAGTGGGGTTTGAAAGTTTATAGCATCACAGCCGTTTCCATCCCGGTGCAGAAAAACGTCAGAATGTAGCACTAACTTTGTGGTCAAAGGTGCTCGAATGTTCTGGCACGTTTACGTACTAATAAAGATGTAACTCATCATTGGGGTTTTGAAAAGAAGAAACGTGCATATGGCCCATTCTCCCGCTATTATTGCCGTTATGATTGACCGCCACACGGAGCTGCAGGCGGCAGGTCTGAAGAGGAAGAGAGAGGGGGGCGCCAGGGTCCCTCAGCGGAGCTCACCAACAAAAGCGAACCGAGACAGCTGCTCCCTCCACAGTCCACACCATTAAATATCTGGAACAGGGATCTGAGGGTGGCGAGGTGCCAAAAACCCCTCCACTTGAAAAGGTCTGAAACTCTTCCTTCGTTTGGGGCACTAGAGTTTAGTGGTGCTTTTTTATGGCGCAATTGTTGGAATACCGTGCGTAAAATAGCACCTGAAACAAACACCATTGCATTTACCTGGAAGGTGGCACAGATGCCGGCGTGGTCCTTATTATGAGCAGACATAACTGCTCTATTGTGAGGGGGATAATTTGCATGATAATACCGTGTACAATAACGAGGGCAGAGGGTTGAGCGCTCTTAATAGACATAAACAAATAATCTTTGCGCGCAAAGGACTCAAGCAGCATGTCCAAACTGTCCAACTGTCCAAAACACTGACACCAGAATCAATTCATTCACAACAGTCCAAATGGTATTTCAAAGATGAGAGCTTCATATTCTGAATGTTTATATACACACACATACACACACACACACACACACGCGCGCGCACATCACATTACTGTAACATAACAAATGTGGTTATTAGCCAAAAATGACCAGATATTATAACCTGTCGCGTGCAGCAGAGCACGCAACGTGAGAATGCAGTCGTACACAAATCAGAAGTCACCAAACAAACGGAGAACAAACGAGGCGCAGGGCAACACCTGTCGCTTTCTTTGGAGAAGGGCCCTTAATTCCCCCGGCTGATTCAGTTTGGGGCCGAGGGGCCGCCGGCAGCAGCAGCAGCTGCCAACTGAAGGCATCGCGTTACATCCGCCAAAAAAAAAAAAAAAAGCCGGTTAAATCTGCTGAGGCTCGGACACGAAAGCACAGCAGAAGGAAGAATGGGTCGGGCAGAGAAAAAAGAGAGACTGAGTAGAAACATCATGGTAGTAAGATGAGTCAAAGTGGTCCTGGAAGCTGTACATACAAAGCAGTATTAAATCATTTATACCAATTATAATTGTTTATACACCATGAACGTTTATCATAACTCACTCTTGAATAGAATAATAGCCCCCGGCTATAATAAACAGTTATTAAAATATTCATCAAAGAGTGTAGATATCATTCTAACATGACATCATTCTGCACCATGATGAATTGTGTGCAGCTGAATGGAAGAACACACAGTTGATTCACTGGGGTTTAAAACAAAAAAAATCACCGCGGTCGGTCCCCTAACACAACAAACTGTCTGATTAAAGCCCCTCCAGCTCCTCGGGGCGCAGACCGGGGCTGACCGGAGACAAAGAGAGTGGGCGCTCATTGGCTCCGGCCGTGTGCGCTCCGTTGTCCCCCCAGCGAGAGCAGCTCAGCCCCTATTCACATGTTAATAAGCCCCTATAAATACTAACAGCCACTCAGCGCCGGCAGCACGTCTCACTAGGATTGCACAATAAACACAGGGCGCCTCGCCTGTGAGTTTGGTCGATTTTCAGTTTTTTTTTCTTTTCTTCTTGTAACCGGTTCCGTTTGCCAGCTGCCTTTCGCTGACGGGAGAGAGCGAGCAGTAGGAGAAGCCACAGAAGCGGCGATCCAAACCAACATGGCCCCCTCGGCTCGGCCCAGCGACACCGGACTCGATATGGAGGAAGAGGAGTCGTACTACGGGATTCAGAAAGGGGACAGAAAGGTACCTGCTGCGGGACTGTTGATGGAGTCACCGGCGCTCTTTGGACACATCGGGCCCTGACGCACTTGTCACGCCGGTGACATTCTTTAGGCTTAATGCTTAGAGCGTTTATGTATTTATTTTGACAGTTAATTATCACACACATGGATGCGACTTCCACCACAGAGCGAGGAATACACAGTGTTGTATCCACAGCTGCGGGTTTTCTGTCACTGACTGGAGTGTGATCTTTGTGTGTCCCTGCAGACCAGGAAACCGCTGGTGGAGAAGAAGAGGCGAGCTCGCATCAACGAGAGTCTGCACGAGCTGCGGACTTTGCTGGCGGACACGGACGTGAGTACGGCTCCGCGCGTGCGCACACACTGTGGCCGATATACCTATTGCACCCTCAGCTCACCTGTCCCTCCGATGCAGCTGTATAGGTTTAAGATGTTGGGGTTCTGATCGGAGCTGCGCTGTGTTGTTCCCACAGTTTCATTCCAAGATGGAGAACGCAGAGGTGCTGGAGATGACGGTGAAGAAGGTGGAGGATGTTCTGAAGAACCGAACCCAAGGTCTGCACCACTCTTGATCTTAATCTCATTATCCTGTATCTGACACTATACTTTGACAACTGGTGTTTGGATCCTCTTGTATCTTCAGATAAAGGTTTCACAGACCTTTTTGTCTGTGAAACCTGGCCTTCTCAAAAACAAAAAACAAATGACAACTAAAAGCTTGGCTCAAGGGCTGACTTTCAATAGATCGCAGCGAGGGAGCTGCTCTGCTATGTACGAAACCCTGACCCAGAATCAGGTCGTCTGCAAGTCATTTAGCACCAGGTTCTCCACAAACATAGGAAGTTCAACCTGAGGTTTAGAGCAGTGGGACACTCACAAGGGGTCACGAGATACATTTCAGGGGTCACAAAGATCTTTAACAGATGAGGAATGTAGAAAAAAAACATTTCAGTTTTCTTAAATATTTTGAGCTTTTGTTTTGTTATTAATTTCGCTACTTCAGTGCTAGGCAACCCGTGACGAGGGTCACAGGTAGATGTGTCTTTGAATTAAAGGATCACAAGACAAAAATGAACCACTGATTTAGAGGGAATACTAGTCATTTTGTCGTATTTCATCAATAGGTTTGATCTGATTGCTCATGTAACCCAACTGATGGTGACCTGGCTTCGACCAAAAGCAGTCCAACTGGAACGCAGTCACTTCACAGTCCTTCACAGTCTCTCCTTCTTACAGAAACAGACGCACTCAGCCGAGAAGCCAGCGAGCGGTTCGCGGCCGGCTACATCCAGTGCATGCACGAGGTGCACACGTTTGTGTCCAGCTGTCCCGGGATAGACGCCACGGTGGCGGCGGAGCTCCTCAACCACCTCCTGGAGTGCATGCCCCTGAACGAGGACCACCTCCAGGACGTGCTGATGGATCTAATCACTGACACTCCTGGGAGCAACGGCAGCACTTGGCACGGAGGCGACGAGTCGCCGTGCTTGACCCCGGCGTCGCCCGGAGGAAGGAGTCTGTCCGGCGGCTTGTCCCCGGCCCCCTCCACCGCGTCCAGCGAGGACCTGTGCTCCGACCTCGACGAGACCGACAGCGAGCACAACCAGAGCTCCTCCGAGGGCCCGGAGAATAGGGAGGCCCTGAGCATGCCCACCGTGACCTACCCCCGGTCTATGTGGAGACCCTGGTAGGGGTCTGGGCGTTTGGATGGAATGCAGTCGGGATGTGTTGCAGCAGCTTCCTCATACGATGTGACACCGGGACCGCTTACTGAAAGGGAAAAGTCCACTCTACAACACATTCAAAGACAATTTTCGGTGGTGTAACCTGCATTTCTCTGCTCATTTACGCCTGCAGATAACCGGCCACATGCATGGATTTTCTTCTGGATTCCTCACATTGATGTTCAATAATCAAACCTGCTCTCTAAGACACAGAGACCCGTTTGTCCACTGACAACAGCGGACGAATAATTGATCCCAATGCAGTGCATCCGCGGACCGCGTGGCGTTGTGTGGAGGGACCCTGGCTTTTCTCTTCACCCACAACCCAATGCGGCAAGTTTAAATCCTGTCCTCGGCATTCTGGGAAAATGTAGGACATCACTCAGTGAAACAGCAGTAGAAATTCACTCCTCAAGTGTTCACGGTTGAAGTTTTCCTTTATCTCATCACAGGGGGCCTTCCTTTTCAAGGGCCTCCTCCAGCTCTGGGGCCTCCTGAAAGTACAGGGTCCTGTGTTGTGACTTTACTTTACACCTGGAGAGAGATGAAAAGCCTTCTCTCTCTCAACATTCACTTATAACCCAACGAAGGACAGACGAGGAACTGCTCACCTTCACACTTTGATTTTGTGTCAATAACTCTGTGTATATATATTTGTATGTGGAGAAAAGCTCTTTTAGAAACCCGAGAAGTTTGGCAATGCCTCTGATTAATATAAATATTTCTATTGTATTTCATGAAGGCCTGTAGTTTATCGGACCAGTAGCCTCATCCAGAATGACCACTTCATGTTGTAATGATGTTTAGAAATGCCCGTAAAATGTCTGAATTTTGCTAAATAAAATTCTGTAATTGAAAAGCTTTTGTCCGATTGACTCAACACCGGAGAGGAAACAGGATCAAAAACTTGGAACTTAAATAAAAAATAATAATAATAAAAAACTGTGAGATGAAATATTGTCAGTGAAAGTTAAGTTATTGTTGAGAAATGACTTTTGATTGATATCTTGAGGGATGGCAGGCTAATTTGTGTTCAGGCTAAAAGCTCTTAAAAGCACTGAGTTTGATTGCATTAAATTATGACTAATGTGACAAAAAAAGACCAACATCATTTCTCACAATTTTTTGTCCAAATAAAAGCTTTGATAAAAACCTTTTCTCTGCTATTCATCACTGAATGCCCTTAGATCTTTGATCCCACAGGGCTAAAATACATTTCATGTCAGATCATAACCCTGAAGATATATTCCCCTCTTCCTGTCATCACCTCCGACCTGCGCTCCCCTTCTCACCACGAGGACGCGCAGTGCGCGTACGCACATGAAAGACTCGCGCCTCTCCAACGTGTCTTCGCTCTCACCTCAGATACAATGAGCACCTTCACAAAGAGACGTTAGATCCTGTCTGCACCAGCGACCAGCCTACAGCGAGTAACACGGCCGCTTAAGATATAGAATGAATAATAATAATAAAAAACGTTACCTCTCGTTTTTCATAACGGACCAAAAGGCTGCATCTGATATTAAAGTGACATCCACACGTTGGTCATTGTCTGCTGTCAGATGATCCTGGAGTCTAGAAGGAATAATTAAGGTGGAGGTGGAGGGGTCGGGGGGTTCACATGCTGGACCTGGGTGTGAACGTCGGAGGAAACACATTGAAATGGGAGCGGACGAGACACGGTGATCAAAGCTGCGGCCGTTTGACAGAGGAGCGTCAAAGCCCGCACAGCTGAAAGAGACACTACGAAGGAGACAAGCAGGCTCAGATTCTTCAAAGGGACACACACACGCACGCACGCACACACACAGGCTGCTGCCTGTCTTCTGACTGACACTTGATCATCAAGAGACTCATAAAGAGACACAGACTATCAGGGACAGTCTCGTTGGAGGAAGAAGTGGAGGGACAGTGATGGGGGGGTACTCCAAGTCTCGTTCTAAATTGGTGGTAGTATACGTCTAATTACTGTTTCAACCAAATAATAACTAAGTATTGATTATGTAAATGCAGGAGAGATCAAGGCCAAGTGCTTTATGTTTATTTCAGCTAGATCCACCACTTACACACACGCTGACACATTTATGAGTTTTAAGTATTAAGTTCTCACCAACATGCCCCATAAAATCTCTCCAGCAGGTCCCTAGTTTAACATCCACATGCCTGTCTTTCACTGAAACATTCACTTCCAGTCGTTCTATTTTTAGACTCTTGCTAGATTTCAGCTGAACTAAATTAAATGACGGCGTACAATGTCCATGAGCATACGGCGAGTCCCCAAACACACCGGGCATTGTGACTGTGGGCCGCTGTGTAGTTTGTAACCCTATAGTGTGTATGTTTGGGTACATGGAAGGAAGCAGGTGGGTGGACGGGTGTGGATGTTTAGGAACCTTCAGCCAAATTCAATTTCAGTCACACCCCATTGTATATTGTTGAGAAGTAGACCTATTGTATAGTTTTGTTTTGGTCATTGTTATCCTTGTCTTTTTTAAATGTAAGCTGCTATATGCACAACATATAGCTGGGTTTAATATAATTAATAAAATCGATCTGTCCCTCCATCTATCTGGTCAGATTAACGTAATACTTCCCCCCACTGAACCTCCTGCACGTCGCCACAATCTGCTAACTGAACACGACAGACGACAGGCTGACCGTGAGACCAGATTTAGTTTTAGAAGAAAAGAAAAACAGAAAGGAGGGAGGTCCTGAATGCATCAGCTGCATGTTTTGTGAGCATGCATATGAATTCTAAAAGGTCAGAGGTCAGTGGGATGCAACAGTTGGCACGAGAGGGATTCAACGGCGGAGACATATGGCGCTGAAACAGATCCCCGGGGAACCCTGACATCCTCGGCTCCTTAAGTTCTAGATCAGCATTTTTAAGTGTTTTTGGACATTTTTATAAACCAAAGTAATCGACATTAGGATCTATAATGAAAGTAGATATTTGCAGCGTTCTTTATCCACTGGTCTTACAAATAGTCACAAATCCGCTGATATCAACTTACTAAAGAGTGGTTTCATGCCATTGATGAAGTTGTTTTTAGGTTTATCTGATATTTCCCATCAGCGTTTCTTTCTTCTTCCAGCCAACAATGTCAGACCGTCACATGTTGAGCAATGAGCACAAAAGAACATTCCTCAGAGTCACGCCGCTTGTATTTCTGTAATTTTATTACAACGTTGTTGTTCAAACAATACATCATTTTTTTTACCTACAAAAATAAATGCACAGAACTGTGCCAGTTTAACACACCACATACTCGGTACGGTGGCGATGAAACTAATTTACAGGACCGACATCACGCGCCAGTACAGATCAGGGTGCTGCTTCCAACGGCCCACCGGTGCATAACTCATTTAAAAAATGGATTCCCTCTGTGCGAGGCCTTTTGAGAAAGTAAGGCTTAAATATTCTCTGGCTTACTCTCAGCATTCATTCTGGTGTTCTTAATGGGTTGAACACAGGTGAGCGAGGTGGTGACAGGCGCCCGTCCACTGTGTAATGTCCACAAACACCTGGCAGTCTAAGGCAGAGACTCTCTGTACAAGCCCGGAATCACTCAAGTATCTGACCGCTCGGTCCATTGCGTTTTGCCCACATACATACATACACATGTTCTGCTTACAGTAACATGACCTGGTTTGTTTTAAGAGGTAGGGTCCATCCCCAATTACAATCAAAAAGCTCTTTCTTTCACCAACAAAACAAAATAGAAAATAGAACAAAGAAAAAGAAAAGTAAGAAAATAAAAATACAATCGTGGAACAAACGTAGCCAGAGAGAAGCTTCTGGTCCAGTCTGTGTTACATTCACTGCCTCAACAGTTCCTCTGTCGTAGCTACACAGTTGTTCCCAGTTCTCCCATTGTTTACCTCAACTACATGCCGACCGGTTTCCTTAATATTTTACGCCGAGCGGGCTTGCATGGTTCCTGATGCATGCATGTCGCCACTTCCTGTGTAACCTAGGCTTCTACAGAAGGTTATTTAGGCAACATGGTCGCCTGCTGTGCTACAAGTGAAATGCTGTTTTCCCACCGTTGTCCTACATTTAGGTGTTTAACACTCACGCAACAGCTTCGAAATAGTGATCTGTCGTTTTTGCATAATGTATAAAGTCCCCGGCGACAGAAAAATAATATCACTCAACACTTTTTGGAGGTGAAATGCCGTTTGAATAAAATACAATTAAAACATTTCTTTGGCTTTGACGTTGATTTGAAGCCTCGATGGAAAAAGGATAACCGCCGTCCTCTCAACCTCTCACTTCTCATGTTTCAACTGTCTGCTGCTTTTCATATAACAGAAAGTATTTCAGCATCTTCTCCACCTGTGATGACGCACACTTGTTCATAGCACCTGTGCCGCTTTAAGGTCTGCAGAGGCCTACAACACGTTGAGGTTCTTCTGTTAAATGCACTAGCTGGTTCCACGTCGTATTTGTCAAAGTAAAATTACCTTAATATCCTGTAGAGTGAATTGTCAATGCCTGTAAACGGTGAACATGTAAATACTGTCTTTCAGCTGATTGTATTTGGCTTTAGCTTCAAACAATCTATTCTAGATATATTATCTGGTAGGAAATAAATACGATTTTAAGTTGAATGAATAGCTTGCGCTATCTATCAGATTGTCACTGTTGAGGAAAGTCACTATCAGCCCACGTGTCAGTGTGTTGGCTGTTGAGTCGAGTGCAACCACGGCCCCGTGCCTAGATAAGGCAAGTACCCAGGTCAGAGGGGAGTGGGGGATAAAAACTCTTCAGTGATACAAAAGTGGGGGTCCCTGCCCTTTGACCAGGACTACATCATCCACTGTGCACCACATGCATTCTACATAATTAAAAATATGAAAACAAAAGGGGGTTTAAGGGACTTGAATGACACCACGTGGCAAACAAGAAAACACTATTTTTTTGTCAAAATTCTTTGACATCACATATATTCATCAGATGTTTGTAAGATACTCATTATCTATTAAAGTCCTGCCTCTGTCAAAGAGACAATGAAATTAAAATAAAAAAAATCTGGGAGGCTAAACAGTCACCAACCACTCAGGCTGGGCCCAGATCCTTTTGGTGTGTGTGTGTGTGTGTGTGTGTGTGTGAGCTGGCAAAAGTACTATATGAGGTTCATGCATACAAAGACCCTCATAAAGTGCTACTGCCCCCTGTAAGGGCAGATTAAGAACTGCACATCAGCAGCAGTCCTCTGCACAACTCACACAAGAGAGGCACATGTCCTCTGTTCTGCTCGAAGGTCCATTCCTGGTCGAGTGTGTCCCCCTGCTGGCGGCGTGTTTGTGTGTGTGTTCAGGAGCCGGTGTCTGGTTGAGGGTGAGACTTCTCCGCTAGGCTCTGGGCCTTCTGGCCCTCGCGGCTCAGCTCCTCTCCGAGCTCGCCCATGTCCATGTGGGGCAGGTTCTCCTTGTTGGGGGCCGCCGCTGCGTCCTCGCAGTACACGCACTCCTAAACACATACACCAGGCAGATATTAATACTTAAAATCTGACTTATTTCCAGACATCTCTACGTGAATATGCATGAATTTGTCTTTTTAGATACACCGCATGTGTTTGGTACCGACCTTCACATTGATGGCAGCAGGCAGACCCCCCCTCCTCATCCAGGGGTGTTCCTCCACTAGCTCTCGCCGCTGGTCGGAGGAGAAGTGAGGCTGGCTCTTGAGCATCTGCCTCAGCCTCTCTTTGTCTTCTCGCAGAACCCTCTGAATGTCCCTGAAGGGTCAGGGGGGAAAAAAAACACATTTGTAATCAGTCACAAAGAAATATGCACGCTATCAGACTGAAAGAAGGGCCTACATGTTTAAAAAAAAATAACTGAATATATTTGTTTTGTTGCATTATAGGCACTTATAGGCTGTTAGTAATTCTGTCTACCCTTAAAATAATGCGTAATCCCAGTCAGCGACTCACCTGGGTGGCATTTGATACGTCATCATGACCTTCTTGTCAGCATTGGCCATCAGCAGCCAGAGGGGCTCCTGGAGAACGTATTTGATGAAATGGTCTTTGTCGCCTTGGGTTAAGAACTTGGTCTGCGACGGGCCGTCCTCAGAGTCTCCTTCACCTCTCATCTTGGCTTTGGCCTTGTGGTCGTGTTCCAGAGAGTCGATGCTGCTGAAGTATTTGCTGGTGTTGCTGCTCCCTGTACAACGTTTCAGAGAGAAGATGGAAACGGTCAGAAATAATCCTTTTGTGCATATACTTTGAAAAGGAAATTCTTTTTACACTAACCAATCAGAAATATCATGTTGTACCTTAAATGAAGGTTAAGTTTATATCTCTATTGACCTGTTCTGCTGCCAGAAGCTCCACTAGCTGATGTGCCGCTGCCGTTGCAGCCTGAGCCAGATCCAGAGCCCGTGGAGCCGGAGGTGGCTGATCCGGTCCCGGAGTGGGAGTCCTCCTGCAGCAGGATGTCCAGCAAGTCGCAGGATGAGGAGTTACCGTCACTCTGAGCCCCATCTCCTGGAGACTCCTCCTGAAACACAAGGCAGCAAGCCATCAGCCCTGTGACAAGCTGTATGTGGATGTGTGGGTGTGTATATGAGCGGCTGAAGCCTTTACAGGACAGAGTTCTGATGTTAAATCTAATATACATTCGCTCGCCATCACTCGGGACATTGTGACCCTCACCTGTTGGTGGTTCTCGGTCTTGGCTGTGCCTCCGATCTTCTCCCCGGCTGCTCCAGCTGCCCCTGAGGCTGCTGCTGAGCCGTTGCCCTGGCATCCAGCAAGCGGTGCTGTGCTATCCTGCCGTTCCACTGAGCGATGTCCCTCCTCCATGCTTAGCAGATTGAGCTGCAGGGGCGAGCTGCACCGCGACTCGAACAGCGGCGGCGACGTGGTCGGCTCCCGCGCTCCAGAGGCCGGCGTGGAGGAGCGTGACGCCGCCCCCTCTCGAAGATCCGCGGCCATGGATTTGTGTGGCCCGAGGGCTAGGCTGTAGGGGAACGGCTGAGCTGGGTACGGGACTTGAGTCACGAACTGAGTCTGCACCGGGAAAGAAGGCTGTGCAGCAAAAGGCTGCTGGGTAGTGTAGGCAGTCTGAGTATAGGCAGCCTGAGGGCCCTCGAAAGGCTGCGCTGTAGTGAAGGGGGTCTGTGTGGTTTGGAAAGGCTGCGCTGTACTAAAGGGGGTCTGTGTGGTTTGGAAAGGCTGCGCTGTACTAAAGGGGGTCTGTGTGGTTTGGAAAGGCTGCGCTGTACTAAAGGGGGTCTGTGTGGTCTGGAAAGGCTGTGCTGTAGTGAAGGGGGTCTGTGTGGTTTGGAAGGGCTGTGCTGTAGTGAAGGGGGTCTGTGTGGTTTGGAAGGGCTGTGCTGTACTAAAGGGGGTCTGTGTGGTCTGGAAAGGCTGCAGGGTATTGAAGGGGGTCTGGGGGGTAAAGGCAGTCTGCACGGGGAACGGCGGTTGGCCGGTGTAGGGGGGCTGTGTTTGCATGGCGAACGCGGGCTGTGGGGGCTGAAAGGCCTGCTGAGTGGCGTACGCAGGTTGCGTCTGGGCCCCCAGCGGCCCGATCTGACCCAACTGTCCTATTTGGGGGAAGAGGTAATTGGGTAGCACCAGAGCCACCACGGGTGTCACAATGGGTGCACCAAATGGAGCGGCAGTAGGTGGGGCTTGGGTGCTCTGTCCCTCTCCAAAGCCTGTGGACAGGGAGGGGTCAGTGCGGGGGGCCTGAGCCGAGGCCGCAGGTGCAGGGGGGTAGAGCGGGTAGGCGGGCACCATGGCTGGGTAGGAGACGTTAAAAGCCGACTGGGATGCTTCTGACAGGGACCACGAGGTTTGGTTGAGGCCCTGGAGAGGGGGCCGGGGTTTGCGGTTTGATGCGGCGCTGTCTGACGAGTCGGGATGCTTCATCCGCGGCTTCTTGGACTTCCTGTTGCGGTTGCCTCTCTTGGCGGTCGTCTCGGGTCTGGTAGTGCCATGTTTGGTTGCACCTCGTAGCGCGGATGATTCTAAGAGGACACATGGAGAAGTCAGAGGGTTGTTTTTCCAGATATAACAGAAAAGGATGAATAGACGACAAATCTTAATTTTCTGTGGTTACTACTAAACCGTGTGTACCTTCAGCGTTAGCTGGACCTCTCTGCTTGTGCAGATATGTGAAACAGTCCTTCTGGAGGGTCTTGGCGTTGTGGAGCTCTCGGCAGCGGTGGAGGAAGGCCTGCTCTTCTTTCTGGGTGTGTGCAGCCAGCACCTGCCTGGTCAGTCCCACCCACTTGTAGGCCTCCTCCTCCTGGCTGGGGGGGGACACCACGCTGACATGCAGAGCCGGGGGCACGGGGCTCTCTGCCACGTCCTCGATAATCTCTGCAGAACAAATCAGAGCCATGAGAGTCAGTAAAAACAGAACTTATTATCTAGCAGTTCGATGGCACTTATGTACAAAAAAATGGAGGCTGACACTCACCAGACTCTGGCTGAGGCTTCTTGTCTCCCACGTGGACGATGGTGCTGCTGTAGCTGCACTGTGAGGTGATGGACACCACGCTCTCGGCCTTGCTGGGCAGGGTGAGCGGTGCCGGGTGGCCTCCCACCACAGCCGCTGTCCCAGATGAAGGCTTCTTAGGTGCTTTCATGTTCGACAGGCCTGGCTGGGCGCCGAGCATCAAAGAGTCTGCATGGGGAAAGAGAGATCGTCCATTAGCTCCAAGCCAAAGATGATGCAGTCTAATCCATATCAGTTAAGCAGGTGAACCCAAGATAATGAACAACTAAAGGGGTGATTCTTATGCAGAATTGAATCTGTTGTGTTTGTGCACACAGATGGATGGCGTCTACATGCCTTGGTTTGTGTCCTGAGACACCTGCATGCAATCCTCTGAGCCCTTCTTGTCGTCATCCGAGTCGGAGGAGGTCGTGTTGGTGTTAGTGGAGAACTGGTACTTCCTCTTCGCTGTGATGGGGATGTTACAACTCTCCAGGTACCTGAGAAACAGAAATGGGATTGATCAGAGAGGCGCACGTTTCACAAACACACAGATGATCTTTTAACCGCCATCTTCCGTGGACACAAACACCGAGCCTTACCTGATGACACTGTCGAGGCAGCTGATCTGCTGGTAGGAGCAGACAGTCTGGTCTCTCCATGTGAAGTCCTCAATGCTGGCTGCAGTACCGTCTCTGACCTGCAGAGGGGGCGCCGAGTCTTTCAGACGCATCGCTGGACTCTTCTGAGCTGCTGCTGAGGCTGGAGGGGAAGAGACACAAAAATGAAGACAGGCAGACAAACACACTTGTTGTTTGATTTTTACTTCACTTTTCATCATATTCGACCGCCGCACGAATAACTTCTGATCTACTGACACATTGTGGCCACTGCTTCTTAAACTGAGTGTATCGGTGTGTTCAACCTTTGTCTCAATAAACGTGCTCTCTGTGATGAACTTTGAGTCAAAGCCCCCACAGAATGGCACCAGTGTGGTGATAAAAAACTGAACTCACTGTCAGCGGTCTTCTTCTGCTCCGGCTTGGATGGCGACGGTGAAGGAGGCGGGGAGCGCAGGCCGACCTGGGAGTCCTGGTTCTTCAGCATGTGGACCCCTTTACAAATCTCCTTGAACGTCCTGGGGGGCTTGGCCTTGTTTGCCTCCTCCGCCGTGTTCATGTTGCTCTCCCTGGACGAGCTGATGTTCACCAGCTGCTCGTGGGAACCGTTGCTGCCGTGGCTACCATAACCACTAGAGCCCATGTTGTGGACCGGCTGAAGAGAGAAAAGACTGTTACAGAAACTGAAACACGCGTGGATGAAAATGTGTGTTTAAGTGTGTGTGTGTGTGTACATACTTGGAGTAGCAGCCTGTGGATCTGTTCACTAATTTCCTGGATGTCGGAGTCCATGATCTTCCCTCCATGAAAAGCTGGTGCTGCAAAAACATCTTCATTCACAGGACCCCTGGAAAACACACACCACTGTCATCTAGAATGTTCAAAGTGAAATAAATTCAAACATATCACTGCTGACGACAACAAGAACCTTAACTAAAGTAACATATTGGGTGCACTCACATGCGGACTTTGTGCCTGCCGATGACAAAGGAGACCTTGCGGCTCCAGGGGTTGACGAAGCTGGACCAGCTGGTGTCGATGGTGACGTACTCGCCGTTTCGCGCACAGAAACGGATCGAGGAGTGATCGAATGGCTGACCCACATACTTTAGAACTGTTGGCAACAGGAGGAAGAGTGTGTGTGAGTGACAGCTGAGTGAAAAGAACAGTTTGATGCCACAAGCAGATGACTGAATTATTGTTCTTAAGAACATACTTTCAGTAGCCCCTTTTACAACCGTTTGAGGAACATATTGTGTTTCGACTACAGACCCAAGAGTCTAAATTAGATACCGGTGATATTTTAGCCCCGAAAAGGTACATTCTGAAAGTACAGGAACGTTCAGGGTTGGGTTTGCAGGTATAACCGTCACTGATTGGCCAAAAACACACAGCGCTGCTGCTTCAACTGGTGTACTGCTTCGTTTGGTGACAAGGAAATTCTCTCGCAATGATTTCGGACCATTTTAGGACGAGGGGCGAGCTTTTGTCTTTGTTTGATAACTACTCACTTTTCCGATGCACGGCGAGCATCAACGGTCGGTCACTTGGGTGCAGATTGAGCAGCACAGGAGTCCCGATCAGGTCCTGAGGGAGGTAACCCAACAGGGGAACAGCCCTGATGGAGAAACAACAAGAACAACATGTTAATGTCAGTTACACACATGGTGTGTTTGTGTGTGTGGGGGGAGGCTCAGTCCACTCACCTCTCATCCACATCCTGGAACACACAGTCAGGTGTGTGTGTGGTGGTGAAGACGCGCTTGTCATCGGGGATTCTGGGTGCTGTGGAGAGAGAAGAAGAAGAAAAACATGAATTGGCCAGTAAGAAAAAATAAGCAAATGGTAATCGTTAAACATGCACAGCACCTCGCTTTTAGCCAGCTGCTGTATTTATTAATATCTGTGAGACAATGCAGTAAAACAAACAGTGGAGAAGTGTGTGATACCATGGGGAGCGTGTCGCAGGCCTCACCTTCGTAACCAGAGTGCACCCTCTCGGCCAGCAGGAGGCAGCAGAACTGCTCCTCACCCAGCTCAGCATCCTGGACTTTCATCAGGTATGGAGTCATGCAGAAAGGATAGTACTGCAGATCTCCTTCACGCTCCTTACCACCACTAAAACACACACAATCACAACACTGTTTAGTAATCAGCCTGCATCGTAAAACATATCAAAACCACTACATTGATGTGATAACATACGACACAATCAAATCAACCCAAGTCCTCGAATCTGAAACTGTAGCTGTAACACCCTGTCTGGCCACTAGATGGCAGTTTAAAAGCTCACAGCTGCTGACTTCCTCCCTCCTCTCACCCATCCTCCCTCCCTCCCTCCCTCTCACCAACCCTGAGCTACTTTGAGCAGGAAACTATGGATCAGAGAAGGCTCCGGCTGCTGCCACTCACCTGATGCGGCAAAAGAAGGATTTCTCCTGCATGCACTCTGTGGGTGACGAGTCTGAATAAGAGAGAAGGTGGGATGAATATATATATATATCGCCACATGCATTAGATTGACTGGATCCAAACAAGCCAGCCGTTAGTCATTTACATTTAACACACTGTTGAATATAGTGCAATTTCCTACAATTAGATTACAGTCAAAGCACAATGAAAGTGTTTCGTGTAAAAATACAGCTGCTCAGCAGTTCTTTAGTCAGCTTGTAATAAAGCATGTATAAATAAAGCATGTATGAGCATGTGTGTGTGTGTGTGTGTGTGTGTGTGTGTGTGTGTGTGTGTGTGGGGGGGGTCATGTGAATGAGGTAGATGCTGGTGCATGTGTGTGTGTGCACGTGGGATGGGTCGTGTGGGTTCTCCACGTGTCCTTTGTGGGCCCAGTTATAAACACATATTTGCATATTCATTGGGATGGGATGGGAATGGAGGACTGTTCCAGCTTGGGGATGGCTGTTACCTGCTCCGGTGCACATGCTCCATGAGGGCAGGCGGTAGGGCGTGGTGAAGCTGTAGAACACACTGACGTCCTGAGGCGTCAGGAACTCCACAAACTTGGCATTGTTAAACACTTCCCGCTTGCAGTTCAAGATGGACGCCGCCTGGTCCGAGATGTAAACAATCTTCCCCGTGACGAGCGAGACGGCTACAGCAAAAATATCCTGTGGGAAAAAAGATTTTACAAAAGGAAATCGGTCAAGAAGCTGTCTTTTTATTTCAAGATGTTCAAAGCACTGAAGACGTATCCTCCAGCATTTCTCATGACATTTTATATGTTGTACACACAACTGCAATCACAAAGAAATACGACACATCATTAATCACACATCATCAGCTTTTAGCATTTGAGAAATTACAACTTCATGCTAATGCCGTGGCTACACTGTGAGGTAAGATCAAAAGTACTTACATTGTTTTTAAGGGTGTATTCAGAGGTGATGCTGTTGATCTCCTCGATGGTGTAGGACGAAACATCAAACCCGGGCGGCTGGCTGTCATTAATCATCAGCATCTGATAGTATTCCTCATTAGCTGCAGAACAAAAGAGGAGATGCATCGATGCACAAACACCATCTCACACACACTCAGAATCTATAACCCAGAAGGGTCTAAATTTGTTTTAATTATTGAAGAAAAAGATCTGTTTGTTTACATATGTAACAGTCATAAACATAGCTGATGTACACTAACTACAACGTGAATACATGTGCGCAAATGGAAGCCAGTCTTACCTTTCACCTGTTTGACACATCGCAGCGCATATTTCAGCGCCTTGACGGTGCTGGGCTTGCCCTTGCTCCGCTTTTCCGACGGCAAGTGCATCTTCAGCTCCTTCAGGGTCTTGAAGAGCTCCTTCTGTGTCTTAGCTTTGGCCGACTGTTCGCTGCTGCAGGGCGAACATGAGACAGATACACGTGTGTCAACATGACATGCTCTCACCCAGAGAAGGCACTATCGGTATGTAAGTGATGTATGAATAAGTAATACGTAAGTAAACCGCAACTGTCTGAGCTTATTATCTGTTATAACCCAGTGAAATGAAAAAGACATTTTCACAGTTTTCATCCTGTGGTTATTGTTAGTTTATCTCTTACAAATATATGCAAAATAAATCTGGATTTTTCACATTCAATCTCTGTCTTTTGTCTTCCTTTAAAAACTGCTCAAAATATTTGACAAGTCATGGGGTGTTTCAAAAAAAGAATCCAATCAAATGAGACTTTGGGTGACTAGAGAGCCAAAGAACGCTCCAGCTTTCCTTCCACTGGGACTCTAAATGTCTTAAATGGTAACCACTGTATCCAAGTATAAAAACATAAAAAGTAAGAATAAAGATGCATATTAACCTGCAGCCGCTGGTGGAAGGGTTGTCCTGCTCGGAGCTCACCAGACTGAAGGCGTTGGAGCTGCTCGGCGGCGACGGGCTGTGAGAGTTTGAGCTGGAACCACAAACAACATGTCGTGTTATTGAAGGAAGACCACAAGACGGAGCATCGTGAAAAAGAACAGCCAGAGCACCGAAACAAAAAGGCAAGACTAAACATGTACAGCAAGTCAAGGACTTGGTGTCATGGAGCGTAAGCAGAAAGCCACAAACATACCATCTGTGTCGAGAAAAGTCAAAAAGGTGAAATTGCAATAGTTCATTCGATGGAGTAATGAGATTAAAAGTTTATGTTCTCCCATAAGTTGTTTCTCCCATCAGAACAGTTGATAAAGACATTTGTGATCCAGCTCACTAAGCCATGTCCAAACCTTCTAAACACCAAAAGGTTTGATGCTTTCCATCACAAAGTGAATGAACGAATGTAAACAATAACTTCTTGCTATTAGCTGGCGCTGTACAATCAACCACATGTGTTGAGTTACAGACATCACGAAGGTCTTGCCAACATAAATAATAACAAAAAAAACAACATTTTTTTAACAAGACATTTAGTTACTACATTTAATTTAGGAGGCACAACGAGCTGGTGGGTCACATCTCTTCAGCCTCAGCACCGGAGGAGGAAACGTCAGCGCTCGGTTATGTAACAGACGACCTCCTGCAGGTGGGCTCACATTCATCATTCACATCCCCCTGAAGGCAATAACAAGTCATCTCTAGATGAAAGTGTGCCAACCGTCCTTGTCTTTTGTAGTGGCTCTCATGACGAGGAATAAAACAACCAGAGCTTTCCTCCGTCTGAGACTGCTGGACTACAACAATGACTCAGAGCAACGATGACGCACAGGAGAAAATAGCCCTTTCTATTACATTTAATGAAGCTCATTTCCGTGACCTAGATGGTCCGCTCCCCTGCGGCGTTGGGGTGGGACACTTTGATTGATTTGCCCTCACCTCTTGTTGCTGCCCGAGGACTCCATTAAAGCGGAATCCTTGCCGTTGCCGCTCGAGCTGCCCACGGACTCATTGCCGTGGGACTCGTTGCCGTGGGACTCGTTGCCGTGGGACTCTGTCCCGCTCCCACTCGAGCCCCCCATCTCCACATCCTCGTGTAAGGGCGGACGCGGTCGCTTCCTGTCTTTGTGCGGGGAGCCCGGCGAGGCCGGGCGCTCGTGGCTGCTGCTGTCGCTCCCCTCGGCGTCCAGTTGGACCCCGTCCCGCCCGCCGCACCCCTTTTTGTATCTGTTGGCCATGCGGTGACGTTGGCTGATGGAGACGTCCTCTCCCTCCAGCTGAAAGACGACCCTTTCCCGGTTCCTTTCCAGCCCCTCCAGGGTTGAGTACAGGAAGTGCTTTGGCTCACTTTCCTCAGACATGGTTGCGGATCAAAAGGGGCAAAAAGATGGGCGAATAAGTTACCTTCCACTTGGCAAAGCCACGAAGCGCATGGCACTAGCAGGGAAATGGAGTGGCTGCCTCAGATGTGGGGGATGCAGTCTGAAAATAAAGCACAGGTGAAATTACTCAGACAAATCCTCTTCCAATACAGTGCACTTATATTGACTGAAGATCAATAACAAAGAAACATGGTCCTAAAAATAGGCAGCACTCAATGGGGATTATTCGCCACTTTGATCTGATCAGCCAGATCATCCTTAGATCTCAGCCTTTTAAAAAGTCGATGATAAAGAAGAAGGCGCAGCAGGAAAACACACACACACACACACACACACACACACACACACACACACACACAGTCCCACACCACGGCTGCAGCCGTCCATCCTTCAAAAGGTAAAAGTAACTAAGCCGTTGTTTGACCTTTCCAGGTGGACTAACTCCTCCAGAGCAGTTTGATTTTGTTTAAGCTTTCAACACAGCTGTGACCATTTCAAAGGTGAGGCTGCAGAGATGAAGACACAAACAACAACCTTCGCCTCGCACAAACCATCAGGATACTTCGGACGATTGGAATAAATAAAACCAGTTGTCTCCTGTGGCAACAACCTATCCCGTCACAAAATACAACCAATAAACAGGGCTCTCCCTTCACGAATAACAACATTATCATTACAGCCAAGGACACAGGTCCCACACAAGATGATAAACAGATGTGGTGATGCATGGTCCATGTTGACTTAAGTCTGAATCAAAATAAACACGGCGTTATGTAACACAGTGCATCTGAATGGACAAAAGATAGATGTGAACAGACCCTCACGTACCATTTACCTCGTATCATGACGTCATGTTCAGTCATTACAATCTTTGACAACCGTAAAATAGAAACATGAGCATCCACAACGGTCGAGTTACACGTCCATGTGGAAAACTGCATGTTAAATAAGACCATTCACACGCATTCATGGGTGTAGAAATCACATTTGTTCTCAAAAGGATGTGAAAACAATAGCGACAGTTTTGATTAGTTCTTCTTCTTCTTCTTCTTCTTCTTCTTCTTCTCCTCAGCAGTAGTTGGAGCTATTTACATTTTTTTTAAGCCATAATAGGAAATACTGGCAACAGGTTCTGATACCAAATCCACAATGCTGCACTGTTTTCCCGGCAGGGATTTACAGTGAGTGTGCGTGTGTGTGTGTGTGTGTGTGTGTGTGTGTGTAGTAAGGGTCTTGAAAAGTAGAAAGCTAGATACATTTCTATGTATTATTATTAAGATAACACAAGATAAAATGTTGTAATTAAAAGGAAATACCATTTAAAAGCACATGTATAACAGCAACAGTCCCTTCACATCTAACTGCACTGACCTGCTCTTCAAAATCCACACACACGTTGACCTGCAATCCACTGCACGGTACTGACACAGTTAAGTAAAAGTAACGCTATCCTGCAAAACCCTGCAAAAAGCACCATTTTTGGGCGGCAGACGGATCCATCTCACAGAAAGCCAACATTGTTCTTTCTCTCGGAGTGAACAAAACAAACCTCGAAAGGGCATCTCTATTTTAGGTTATAAAAGTACAAGATTTATTTTTTTTTACTACAACTAAGAGGTGGAAAATCAACTAACACCAACCTGTGCTGCAGTGACGATGAATAGAAACCACCTCTCTGGTTATCGAGTAGAATCAAAACCCCTCCGGTGAGAACGACATTGGGTTAAAAGCTCCGGTATTCCTCAATGAGAGGCGGCATTCAGACGGTTTGACACATTGGCCAACGGCTCCTCCCCTCTCTCACCGGCGGTGGCCTACCAGCCAATCGGTGAGCTCGGAGCGCGACCTCAATTCGGACTCCGCCCCTCGCGTTCCACGATTGGCCGCAAACTGTGGGTTTCCATGACGAAGATGACGAAATTGTGCCAACGGGCGCTCATTGGCCCGGAGCGCTGTCCGTCGTTTTTATATAAACAAGCCCTCCGCCGCACGTGGAAGCCCATGCCGGTCTGTAGAGTGCATCCTGAGACAGGGGAGCGGGATAGAATGGCGACATCATGGAGGATTCTTTGTCATTTAATCCCTTGCATCCTCTTCTTCTTCTCCCAGCCCGTTGTGCAACACACTGTTATGAATGAATGAATGGATGGGGCTTGTGCTCATGGAGCTCACTGGAAAGAGCTGCAGGACCCACCACCTCCATCTTGGAGAAGATGTCCTGGATGGTGGCACACTTGAAGTCTGTCCATTCAACCGGCTCTAGATTGTCCTGTGCTGCTCAGTAGATCCTGCTCTCAGACAACAGATGCAACTTTTAAAGCCACCCTGCTCCTCTCCCAAAAGCACGTGATTGGATGGGCGGTGGGCTGGCCAAGTTCTGTGTTATAGATTTGAAACAATGATAAGAGAAGGGCCTATCTTCTCCGCCTGAGTTATCTCTGAGACAGAAGAAATAGTAATAGTCTGGCTGTAAAGTATAGCGCAGCTGCACAGAGACCATTTAACAATCCAAATATGCAAAGGGCCTCAGACCCACGATGATTTATATTACAAGACAGCCAGTGCTTGAAGAGACAATAAGAGGAAAACTGTTTACATCTTTATGAGGCTTGTTTTCCTTCTTTTGTCTGTATTTTTGGTCACACGGACGAAAATTCAAGAGACCACAAATTGTTGGAACTTGGCAGAGACAGCTTGATAAATGCACACACTGTATATGACCTATAAGAAAACAATGCCAGTGTGTTACCCAGAGAGAGACAGTGGCTCAATAACAGCTGACCATCAGTGTGCAAAACCCTTGGAGCACAGCACACAGTCTATAGTTCCATATTTATGACGTTTTATATGAAACATTAAATGCGTTGAAATCACGTCTTCATGTAGACCACATATCAACGGCCAGCGTAATATGATTTTGGAGAAATACGTTTAAAGTAACCAAAATCGCATCTCTTTCAACCTACAACTGAACAAACCATCAATATTTTAAAATAAAAGACGGTGAAAAGACGGTGAAAATAGGTCTAAGACGTTCAGACCCCATTTCAACGCGTTTTCAACCAGAAATCAACGTTGAAATCCGGGTTAGTGCTCACTGGGTAGCTGCAAGTGACAGTTCTCAAGTGGCAGCCACACACAACCCCTGCTGGGGGGCACTCTAGTCAACAACACACCCCGCTGTCTGCCTCAGTCACCAGAATATGTGAGAGCCGAGTCTGTCACATACACCCCCCCCCCACTGAAAATGGCTTGTATGATATCACACTGAAAGCATACAAAAGGCTCTATAGTTAGCTTTTCCTTTGCTTGGCATGTTTGCTTAAGTGTGTTTTCCAACATTTCCCAGGAGGCCTTTCGACAGTCCACGAGGAAGTGTAAGCATGTTGCATTCAGTGGTAGGTACAAGTGTATTTGGTGGGTAGATTAAAGTCCTTCAACATTCACAACAACTGTGTGTGGATCGGAGTAACATGAGATTGATTCCTGAATCACTCACACACACTCCCATATGTATATACATACATTTTATTTGTGCATGCAGTGGCTGATGACGTATCAGATCCTTGTCTTAGGTAAAAAAAAACATCTGTCCATCCATGTGTGCTTCTCTTCAATCAATGAATGAATCCATTCAACCCTGAAAATGGATCCTTTAGTTCAAAGATGTTATTCAACATCCACGTTACACACATAGGTGGCTGCAACTGAAAACAGAAATATAAAAGGAAGCAAATATTTTAAGGTCAATTAAGTTAATTGGCTGCGTTGCGTTCTACCGCTCCATTTGCTGAAGACTGGAAGCAATATTAATGCCTGTCCAGAATCCTTTGTAGCATCTACTCCCTGGCTCTGCTCCACATCATTTGGCTTAAGGTATAAGTGTGTAGGTGTGGCCCTGTTTATGAAAAAAGACCACCATCTAAAAACAAGCATGTAACTGCTGAAGCCTCCGAAAGTAGGCCAGCATCAAATATGTGTGAGCTAAGGTTAAGAGAGGGGATGACTGAAACAGCTCACAGCTGGCTCTGTGCTCACCCTTGTGTTGGATTCAGCCATCATTTACTGTATATGCATGAATGTCAAAGTCAGGAAACATGTTATATAGATTATTTTTTCGTGTGATAATTTACATCCCTTGTTCACATCCTCCATACAGGATGTGTGCCGCTGTCTGCTCTCCCTGTGACCAATCCTCCTGATGGGTTATTGAATTACGCAACATGCAGTGAACAACAACACATACCTGATTTTGCACTGAGCAATGATTGTAACTTCAAGTAATAGAGATTCAAGAAATGACGGTCGCTGAAGGGTAGAGACTTTAATGTTCCCCAGAGCGAAAAGAAACATGAGTCATACATAACAGCACTTTTGTACAATTCAGGCGATAGAAAGCCCCTTATGCAGAGGACCTTCATGATGAGGTGGGTGATCCCCCCTTGTATCTTTAAATGAGTGTAGAGATACGTCACTAGAGGCAATGCTTTTTAGAAAAAAGGAGGCGAAGTCACACATTCTTGTCTATGACGCTGAAGCGGAGCAAGTAAAGCATTTTAGGTTCCTGGGAATCAGAATTACAAAACAACCCGACATGGTTATATCTCCATCCTCAAGTTCAGAAAGCGGTATTTTAAACATGTTAACTCCTACAGAGGACCAGTAGAGAGCATTCTGACTGGAAACATTATGAACTGGCATGGGACGTGCACGGCCCGGGAGCGAGTGATGAAAACCACCCAGAATGTCATTAATGCAGCTACCGAGATGCAGTGAAATCGGTGAGGTGAGGTGCCTGCGAAAAGGCCAGTCGATGTTAAAAGATCATCAGGCTTCGACTCAAATCTTCCTACGTGCTGCATCGTAAACTTTTTTTTTTTCCCATTGTGTAAGATAAAGAGACTACAAGTTGCATTTCTTTGTGCAACCCTTTTTCGTAGAATGACAATAAATGAACATTGACAAAAACAATGACTGGATTCCATTAAGCTGCTTCAGTTTCAGCATCATGACTGACTGGGACACTTGAATGGAACAGAGCCATTGTTAATGTTAGTTAGTAACACCTGTGCTTTGTTTTTATTCTCCTGTGATGAGTCAAACATATACATTTACTCAGTACTGTTTTTAAGTGCAATTTGAAGGAATTGGTACTTTACTCAAGTATTTGCATTTCATGCTACTTTATACTTTTGTAATTACTTTAATTTGTTTTTACATACAGCTAGGTACTAGCTACTTCACGAATTAGGACTTTACAAAGAAACTTTTGGTTTCATAACAGCTTGTTCCATCTTCAATAGTCCACTCGGAGTGGGCGGGTCCAAAAGGTCTGGACCCAGGAGATCTGATTAGAAGGTCAGTTAAAGCATCGGATAAAGCATCATGTATTGGTTCCTAGTTTCACATCTCGAGATTTACCTCTTGTGAGATTGAAATCATAAATTGCTTCAAAATTTTGTCATTTGTTGACGTTATTTATCATCTTAGCCTTGATGCAGAGAATGTCGACTTCACGGCTCGGAGCTATAATTCACACTTGTTTTAGGATGTATGAAAAGTAAAATACATGTACTTTAAAAAAGGACTAACTTCCATTTTGTGCAATCAAGCTACATTATTTTCTCAACTCCTCTTGCAAGCAGGCAAAACTATATCTGAATATATTTCTGTTCTGCAGTATTTATTACAGCTCTCACAACAGATGAAAATAAATAAAACAGATGTGATGGCGCTGCCCTGAGTGGGCGCAAACTCACAACCCACGCCCAGAACAAAGAAACGGACTACAGGCGGAGATGCAGCACGGTGGAAAATAACTTTAATAAAACTCCTATGAAAACAAAAAACAGCAAAACAATAAAAGCCTGTACATTTGACAATATCCAGTGTCTGAGACTTTTTGAAGGCTAGTGGTGCGAATTACAGCTGCATCACACATAAACCAACAGAGAAACAAAACCATTATAGTTTCATTTAACAAGATGTGGTTCATGTACTCGGATATTGCACGAAAATCAAACACAGATGCAGATGCTGAGGCGCACCGTATGACGAGACGAGAAAGTAGCTTTGCATCGCAGTGTAAAGTCCCTCCTGATAAACCCCGCCCACACCGACCCCAGACTCCGCCCACACCTGCTCGTATAAAAACAAAATACACTTTAAAAAGAGAGCGGCACATATTTTCACATTCAATTCAGACACAGATAATTAAAAACACGATATGAACGATGAATTTACCGAACGGTTGCTTTTTTTTCTTTTCGTTTTTGGTCCCAACATGTTAAGAAGCATCAGTTATTCCTCAGCGAGTTTGTCATGGTTGCTAGCATGAGTGGGATGGCGCTTTAAAAGCCCGACATCCTTTTAGATATTTAAGACAAGTTGGCGAGTAATAACTCACCGGTGAAAACACTTTGTCCAATAATGCTCTCCATTTGCACATTGTCATTTCAAAATAAAAGAAACTAAAAAATAAAGTGTTTAGTTCATTAAAAATACAATTTAGAATTTTCTTGTATTTCCGAAAACATTCCAGTGTTCAAATTTACTGAGATTCAAACAGTGGACCAAAGGGCTCAGGGCATCCTTTCCTCCAGTCGATCCTTCTCTTTCATCATTGTTTCCCTAACACGAGTTTCCTCTGTGGACTCGTAAAGTAGTCTGGCACATAGACGTCTCGTGATAAATTCTTAAATGGCAAAAGAAAAAGAAAAACTCA